GCACGTTACATACACATGTACATGTATGTGCCATTTCAACATTATTGATGTCAACAAAAGTGTACAATGTTCATGTGCACGTGCTATATGTAGCTTGTTCTTATTCCTGGAAGGAATTTTACGCGGCGTTTGGGTCATTCCTGGAAAAGGCATCTGACCGGAGGAAGTCACTGATAATATGGAAGAAGCAAGAAAGGTGTTACCGACCACCGTACAAATATCATGTACATACAATGCACATCCACATGTAAGAGTACAACACATGTACGTACTGCTTGTGTAAAGCATGTACAAAATGTAATCAACGACAGTTTTGCGTGCTTTTGGCAAGCAAACCTTTGAACAAACACTCAATGCATGATTCTTTCTTTGGATTATTTGGTGGTGGCTTTGAAAAAAGCCAGTTGAGGTTGTCTTGCTGTTGTTGTCGTCTACGCGAACATACCGATGATGATCTGTGCCACTAGGACATGCAGTGCTAGCATGGCAAGTACTGCAAGGAAGATTTCCAGGTCAGTTTGTTCTGGCATCATGGAATAGCGATAGCGATAGCGTTCCGGACTGAAGCAGTCACTCAGTGGCTCGACAGTTCGCCAGTATCGAATTGACGAAAGTCGTATACAGCTTATAGAGTATGAGCTATGGGACCGTCTGCAAGCATGGCGCCGAACATGTCGAGGAAAATCTGTACCGCCCACACATAGAGTTCTATCAATAAGACCAGCACTGTAAGGAGGAGCAGTGCAAAGAAGAGCACCAGGCCATCTTGTTCTGCCATTTTGGAAGAGAGATAGAGAGCGGTGAGTGCTGAAGCAGTCAGTGGCTCGACAGTTCCGTAGTGATGAGTTGACCAAAGTCGCATGCAGCTTATAAAGGTTTAGCTGCGCGACTGTCTGGTCTTTAAACTGGCGTCCAGCCAGCATCACCGCACTGGATCACGTAATCATAACCGCAGCAGTTCACCACGCACAGTCTAGAACAGACTGCATGACTGTACTAGTTTGGTTGGCAGCCTGTTCCAAGGCGGAGGACGCACTGTGCTAGAACACAGTGATGCTTACTGCTCCTTATTTTTATTCGCTTTGTAACATGCTGTCAATCACGAAAAATGTTTTCAACAAAACAAGTTTATCTCATAGTAATATCATGTATTTTTAAATCTGTATCTGTCTGTTTCTCTTTCTCTCTGTGTGTCTCTTGTCTCCTTCTTCCTCTCCGTTGCTCTTTCCTTCTCCAGAAGTGGAGAGGAATGACCAGCCCATGATCGGTCATCATCAAGCTCATGTTTGTCCACAAAATACACGTCACATGTACATGACATTGTGCACTTACCACATGTAGCTTGTTCTTATTCCTGGAAAGGAATTTTACGCGCCGTTCAGCTAATTCTTTGAAAAGTCACAATGTATCTGATCGGACAAAGTCACTCATAATAAATAGGCGACGATGAGGCATTAACTTTATTATACTGATAAAATAATAGTATTAGAGAAGCGAGCTAATTTATTCACAATATTCACTTTGTTTTTTGGGTAATGTCCGCTTAACAAATACTATCATAGCACTGAAAATAGGGAGGGAACCCGAAAGGTGTTTTGCACACAATGCTAAACATAATTTACCGACCACTATACATGTGAACAAGTAACAGCACGTGTTGATAGATGTGTGAACTGGTCACATAAAGCCGAAGCAGTTTTCAATGCTAACAAATGTGTCCATCCCTTTTGCAGACCCAAATCAAACCCAATTGATCCCAGAAGCCAACAATACACTTTGTTCTGCGGCCTTGGGAGTAGTGTTGGAGTAGAAATTGCTGAGGAGACGTCGCAGAGAGGCGAGCTTTCCTGCGCAGATATGACTTTGGCCGTATTTCAGCATGGTCGAGTGGAAAAATTCAAAAAAGTTTATTTCAAGAATACCCCAAAAGGAAGATGGGGGACATGTCCTCAGCGCTAGAAGAGGTGTTCTACTATCTGCCGGTGTGTAGTTCTGGCCAATTGAGGACGTAGCAGGCTGTTTTGCCAGCGTTTGTAAATTGGCTATTTTCAAGACGATCATTTGTGGCGTCAGGGGGTGATGGACCTCGTCTTCTGGGATCCTGGCGTGGCTAAGCGGTACTGCTCCAGGAACTCTTCTAAGGTGAGGCAATGTTGACTTGATGGAGTTTTGTTCATAGCTTGTTCGTATACGCTGTGGCGTGACTCGTTTCTAGACCCATAATTGATAAATAATGTGATATTTCGGCCATTTCTGAGGGGTATCCAAATTTCAAGGTTCCCTTCAGAAACTTTTTCAAGAGCTTTGCACAATCGATCCACACCCCAAAGGGAACCTACCTGCAAATTTGGAGCGAAATCGGAGAGATCCACTTGCACACATACTTTGGTATTCTCAGACATGCTCTCTTAAGGGGGCAGCCTACCCATAAATTTCATATGGCATTCAATTGACCGTAACTTTGGTGTTTCTCAATGGATTTGAGTGAAATTTTGACCACACACTCCTGCCACTGTGCTGTCCCTCAGGACATGATTTACAAGTTCTTGCGCCTCACTGACAGGCTTTCCAGGCCGGAAAAACTCAAATTTCCGGCATAGTGCCACGGTGTGCGAGCCACCCAGGAGCCAAACAAATGCATTTACAATTTTTTCGCATTTTCGTGCTCATTCTGTTCGTGCGCGGGACCCAAACCTAGAACAAGTCCAGAAGCAGCCACGGGTGATGGGGTAGGGCCCCTCAATGAGGCCCTGGAATCTGTCACAACGGAACGAGTGGGCGTTCTCTCACACACTCCCACAGACCCAAGTCAATTTTTGAATTTTTTTAGGTTTAGCACGTGCTACGAGGTCGTACCTTTGATACAACATCCAGTGCTGGGACCTCCACAGCAAGCCATTTCCACAGCGCTGCACACCAAATCCAGGATGCCCTCAGAAACCAGCAAAGACTGCCACTCACGTTTCACTACTGCCTAGTACTGAATCCTACCTGACTTCTTGTCAATCTTGACACGACTCAAACTTGCCAAAGTCACTAAATCAGCGTTAACTACAATATCTGCAACGTCACGAGGGTGCTGGCAAAAGTCCTGCTGCACGGCGGCGGGCTTCGCCCGCCGCCGTGCACCTTCGCCCGCCGCCGTGCAGCCCAATACGTGGCTCAAAAACCTGATTTTTTGGACTTGGAGCAAACTTCTGCACACTTTCACGTGTTTCCATGATACGACAAGTTGCGCACGGTCTGCTCACATTCAAATACAGTGCTGCCAACAAATGACAGCGTGCAACAAAAAAATCTTTCCTTGCAAGGGCACATTTTCGGCCATAACTCTTGAACGGCTGGTCAGATAGGGACACAATTTTCAGAGAATTTGCAGCTATTCATGCTCTTTCAACTGACGTAGCACTCAATATGAATTTACAAATTCGATTTTTCAGCGAATTTTTGGGTAGTCTGCCACCTTAACAAAAACCGAGACAAACGCTAGATGTGTGTGCTATTTATATTCCACATACCGTAATTCCGCGCATATAAGCCCATGGGCTTATGTGAAACAATGCAGTTTGGGGATAAAATATCCAGTAGAACATGTTCGTTTTTAGCCCATGGGCCAATATTCGAATTTTGAAGGTTCACGAAAAATTACAAGTCCGTGCTCATGGTCAGTCCACCATACTCTACTGGTAAACTGCACTGACCTGCTGTACCATGGTAGGAAGAGTCCATTTTGTGAAAAATTTTACTTGACACGTGAGTTGCATTTGTGTCTGTTTATTAGCCCATGCGCCTTTGATCCTAGACTAGAGGGTGGTGGCGTTCCCACGGCGGATGCGGAAAACTCGGCTTCCAGCCGAGTCTCACGGGAACCGTGAAATTTATTTTATTTTATTATTTATTAGCCCATGGGCTTATAAACGGAGGTGGGCTTATATCCGGATATAGGCCCATGGGCTTATATGCGCGGAATTATGGTATAAATCTGAGAATGATCAGTTAAATATTAAATTAATTTTATACCAGCCTTCATGCTGCTCCCTGATGTATAAGAAGTAAATTATCAACAAAGCAACAGTGCAATGTGTAATACATTGTAGAGGGAAGTCACAGTAGACGAAAATTGCGAAAGTTAACCGGCTACCCTGCAGCCGTGTTTACGCTCGCACTGGAAGATAATCTCAAAAGAAGGTAGCCGCTCCTAGACTTCCTGGCGGGATGCACAAGATGCGGTGTTAGAAGCAGCCATCAAGAGGCCCTACCTAGGCTGCCACAGAGCATGCATTCTCTTCATGTGTATGTTGTGTGTTTGTTTCTGCAGAAGGAAGGACAGCAGCCAACAGCAACCCAGCAAGAAGCAAGCTGGCGAAGGTAATTAGGTAATTCCTGCGAAGGAAATTCTATATTCGAGGCGAATAGTTTACAAGACTAACTGAAGCAAATACTAGCAGTGCTCCTCATAGACTAGTGCATGTTTTAAGTTGCTGAACAAAATTATGTTCTTAGCAATCTGGCCACAACATGCCATCACTTGTCACAATCATGTCCACGCAGCGCAGTGTCAGCAACATACACCTTGCATACATCAAAGACATTTTCATTCATGAAATCCTCAAGCATTCTGGGTCGGAAATCGAGCTGGCATGTGCAAGTATTTTAAAACGCTGTGCTTGATCACCAGTGATCTTTCAAACTTCATCCAGCTAGACAAAGACATCTGTCAAGGATTTGCTTACAGCAGTCACTTGTGCAACTGGCTTTGCGTGATCAGTATCAGGTAGCAGGCGAAAAGTCAGCAAAATCATGCACAGGACCATCTTCATTTCATCCATAGCAAAGTTCTTTCCTATGCACGAACGGGGACCACATCCAAGCGGAATGAATGTGTTGTGACTGCCTGCAATATCATCTTCTTTGAAGCGGTCTGGGTTGATCAAATCCGGATCTCTCCAAACCTGGCTGTTGAAGTGCACACCAAGTACATTGATATGAAAGACTATTCCCTATGGAATGGTTATACTGTCAATTGTATCCTTCTCTGCAGAGCGTGTGACGGCTACAACAATAGAGTTAAAGCGCAGTACTTCTTTGATTGTCCAATTAATGTACTGTAGCTCCGCTAGATGCTTGTGTTGCAGATTCGGCTGAAAACTTCCTGAATTTCGTAGCGATAGCGTTCTTGCACAAGCCTGCTCTTGGCTAAGGTGATGAACAGCCCATTGCAGTGTGGTGCAGGTCGGGTCTTGACCAGCAAACAGGAATGTTTCTACCACTTCCCCAATGTCGGAGTGAGACAGACCCTCGCCATCCTCACCGCTCACAGTCAGTAGTATTTCCAGCATATCCATGTGATCTGCGGCCGCGTTTGCAATGTTGTCACTGGAGTTCTTTTTCAGTTGCTCACGGCGATCGCTAATCACCTTATTGCTGAACTGAGACATTTCTTGAAGATATGCAGTGAGTGGGCGACCAGTCGGTGACATGAGGAACACAAAATCAGAATGGTACCAGGGCTGGACAAAGCGCTTGCCAATGAACACCGCAGCTTTCTGTATTACTGTGGTATAGCGCATAGCAGGTGATGTCACGACTGCCTTCAATTAGCAATTTGTTTCCACAGCCATTGCACACTGTAAGATGATATCAAACGTCAGCTTGGAAGTAACTCAGCAACATTGATGCTCTCTCTTAGTTTCACCTCACACACAGTGAAACAATGTCATGATTACTCCGAAATACAAACGTTCGCACCACCAGACTCACGAAGATAAACTACTGCGAAGCTGGACTGTGTAGCTTAGCAAAACTGCATCTGATTGAGTCAGAGAGACTCGCCTCGGTTCCAGAGCGAACGATTGGGATAATTTTGTCGACGTTCTCCGCCAAGTTGCGCGCTGACCTCCGCTGAGATGTCGACGAGAAAGTTTCCTCGTTGTACGTGCATTGTTTGACGAGGGCGGAGCAGCCCTCCGCCCTCGTCGAGCGATCCGAATGCTTCAGGCAAGCAAATAACTTCTTCGCTCAGCTCAAGTTTCTTTCACGGAGCCTAAGGAAATTGCTCCACGGAGCTTCGTTGAGTATCCCTTCCACAACAATCGAGATCGACAGCGCGCTGTGCGCACCCTGACGAACCACAATTCGCATCTTCACTGCTGCTACGACATCTTCGTGTCCTACGACCATTAGTCCACATAATCATTGCAGTGGGTTGGTGTCATCTTGTTCAAACCCAATAATTATTACTTGACTGACTTCTAGCCCGACACTCGAACGCGAGGGACTGCGACCTCCTTCCATCAAGAAAAAAAACACATTTTTTTCTTGGGAAGAACTTGGAAAGAAAAAGGACCAAGGAACTAGTAGTACAAGTGACCTTGATTTTCTCGAAGGACTCACAATAGTTACATCTACAAGTCGATTTTCCCAGACAACCGGTCAGACAGAGTCACTCCGACCATGGTAACTGTATTGTATGCAATCAGGTAGGTGCCGGTGATAAAATCATCCTGGACTGTAGTCCTGTGGACCTCATCAACTGCACGTCGATGTCATAACCAGGGCATGTACAATGTAATGACCATGATGACGGAAGTCGACTCTCTCAGTCTAGATCAGACTTTGGCCCAGCATGTACGTTCATAATGGTTGCCCCATACAAATACATTGTACCAACCCACCATGTTTGTGCAAGTACATGTAAAATGGCTGTGGGTTTCAATGTGCAATCCTGATCAGGGAGTCGTATAAACACGGGTTTATAAGATTCCCTGATGAATACCTGGAATCGGGCATGGGGTCCAGCACCCCACCACCCCCTCGCCAGGTGACCATGGTTACATGTGACCTACATAACTAACACATTTTATTGCGGCTACAGAATCATTTTGTATACGTCGACTACACATAGTTCATGTACATGCGTGACATGTGGTATACACTGCAGATCCCCATCATGCATTATTCATTGGGATTTATGTCATCCTACTTTATGCATGCTTGTCCCCCCCCCCCCCCCGAGCTGTATGATGAGATTGCAATGAACCAATGACATGAATGATGATATGGAACATGAATATTCTGATCATCATCGAGATCAGAAACCCAGGTGGAATGAAATCCTTCAGAATGACCAGGAAAACCACAGCTCAGCCCAGCACAATTCCTGCAATCCTGGGGAAATGGAGCTGTGGGTTTTCATGTGGCAATCCTGATGGTTCACATTCCGGAGCACACCGAACAACACAAAAACAGCCATCCAAGCACCATGTCACATGGTATACTAGCAGTGCACAGCATACAAAGCATACAGCATAATGCACAGCAACAAAGACTCCGAAGAGACAAAAGCGCTGTCCGTGGCACACGCAAGCCCTTCCCCTCCCAGGGTGACAGGTGTTCTGTTCTAGCCCACATGACCCATGAGGAAATAATAAATCCCGAGGATGGGGTCGGCTGCTGGTGATGACAATCTTGGCTGCCGGTTCCTTGACTTGGCTGCAATCGCTACGCACGCCGTCACTCCCAGTGGAGTGGCTCGTGCATCCGTGTATTTCGGAGCGCTGCCTGAGCGCTGAGGACATAGAGGAAGCGATACAAACACAACCAGAACCAGCAACAAAACATACATCGCCCTTGAGGCTAAACAGCCGTATCACCAACTGATACACTTATACGACACTGTATCCAAGTAGCCAATTCAAAAGCTTCTTGGAAATCACTCCATGCTACAATAGGAGTTGAAATTCAGCGCTCGGTAATTCCAGGAACCTACCCAGTAATGAAGAAAACCCAACGACTATGAAAATCGCCACCTTTTCATGAAATAATGCAAATAGACAGCAGCAGCGGCATACTACATGCTGTGGTGAAGTCTCACTGGAAGGGAACCTGACCTATACACTGCTGGAGTACACGACTCGTTGAACAAGATAATATTATTATAGTAATTACCTTGCACGACGCCGATGACAATCACCACGTCCTCCCGTCCGGCGCTTGACCTGGGCTGAGGAGGAGAACCACACAGCAGCAGAAAACCCAGGATGAGCCTGTACTACGACTACATGTCCCCTAGCTACCTGCCCACCCAGTACATGCACCAGGCACCACATCAAGCATGCACAACCAAATGGAATAAGAAATCTGCAGAGAAGTTGCTGGGCATGCAGGTTCTCCATGCAATGCTAGCCCGGGGTGGAGAAGGCATGCACTGCACAGTAAGTCAGCCCTGGTCATGCAAGCGGGTGCTGGAGATGGGACAAACAATTCTCTGCAGGATTGCACAATAACTAGACAAACCATGCACAGCACAGGGATACTTAGACCACTTCCGGACGACGTCCATTAAATTGATAGCGCTGTCCGCCACCTTGACCAGTTGCGTTGACCGTCTTGATGGTCCTGGACTAGAGGGAAGCACAGCAAACAGAATTGTTAGACAGCAGAGCTATGCATAAATATGATGAACATGCATGGATGATGATGATGTGGTAGCATGCACAAATTGCCTAGCTATTGAATCACTTCCGCTCCCCATTCCGTTGTAGGGATAGGTCTCTATAGTCCAATTCCTCAAATTGCTCGGAATTGCTTGTCTCTTGCAAAATTTGAAATTTATTGAAAGCGTGGTGCAGAGGTATTCAGTGAGGAAGAAAGCATGGTAAAATGTCTTCTATGGCATACTGTGACAGTGAAGAGTGTAAGACTCTCACTACAACTTCTAGCTATATGTGGAAACTTTCAAGGCGTGGAAGAGAGTGAAAGAATATGGCAACTAGTCGCCTGGCAAAATGGGGAGAGGAAGTTGATCCAAGCAAACATCACAGGAATACTTAGGGTTTATGGTAGCCGATCCTCTCCTCCGCCATTCTCCCTGGAAAAGAAGATGGAACAGAGCAAAACAAAAGACTCAGCTGGCAGAAAAAGCAAAATAGGAAAACAGCCAAGAGATAACTATATGCGAACAGGAAGACTCAACATGATAGGATGAGACCAAACTGCTCATCTCATCAGTTGGTGACTACATCATAATATAGGCCATGCAGCATAGGAACACTGTTTATAAAACCGGGCAACAGGAAGTGTAGACATGATGCAGGCTATTGTGCAAATCACTTTCTGGCATCACGTGACCAAACTCAAATACACCCTGACAGTAGACTACGCGTGGAGTCATCACTGGAGTTGTCAAACGCTTTGTCGCTAAGTGGGCCAGTTGCAAGTCTGTAAGTTGCTCAAACCCAAGCACATACTCACTTCAGCTGTCGAATCTGAGGAAAACCTACTCATAACGATGTTCACTGCTTCGCATTCGCTGCCTTAGCTCCGAAGAGCCTCACTGTCCATGATGCCACCGGTGATTCATATCACATAACACCAAGATTACCTGTCCACTGGCATGGCGAAGCACGAGCTGCTAAACGGAAGGCATGTCGAGCATTGAGCACCACGCAGTGGGCACAAACATATTGCATGTGAAGCGGTTTTCCGGATATCGCACCATTTTGGTGCGATATCCTGTGGCAAGTCAAGGAACCGGCCAAGCTTGTCATCACCAGCAGCACCCCTCCCTATATTTCCCCATGGGCTGAACAGAACACCTGTCATTTTTGGACAACCCTTTCACAAATTTCCCAAAACCCAAAACATGGCTGGTTCCGGGTGAAAAAATGGAAATAATAGGACGATGATGCTGACGATAGTGAAGCTTCCTGTAGATGCATTACGAGACAGTACAGCGGAGAACACACACCCAGCACATGCATACTGCACACACACACACACACACACGCTCCTGCCAGTCATGAACACATGCATCGGCATGCACCAGAGAGCACAAGAACACATAATGCTGTCAAACAGAGTGGAGCGGAGCGACAAGGGAAATGACAGGTGAGATTGAAAAATTTGAGACACGAGCGAGTTATAAGTGGTTTGACTCATCACTGTATCCCTAGTTCAGAATGCCTGACTGGAGATCTAAGATTTTCTACGTGTTAAAATCCTCAGTCAAGTTTATGATGACGGCTCTCATCCATGCATGGATGCAGCAAACAGGATTTTCAGTCTTTGACGACGTTGGTGGCAAGTCTGACCTTCTCATCTCCTACCTCTGTAGGCGCTGCATCTGCTCATTGATCCTTAAGGGCGGTGGCTTTCCAACGGATGCGGAAAACTCAACCTCTAGCCGAGTCTCATGTGAACCGTGAACGACTCTCTCACACCACTGGTTAGCAACAAGCAGAGTGGCCCAGCGTCACTTCTGCCTCCCCATCCCAACCTCCCAATTCACATCTTTCAGGCGCAATCTGACATTGCCAGGTCTGGACCATCTCACAAGCTAGCCTAAATCCAATTAGAGCTTTTGAGATCAGGTACCTGTGTGAGCTGCTTGGCATCAAAAATTATGATCATCGCGAAAATGAGTCAGTACTGCAGGAAATCAAGAATGCTATCGCCCGGTCACACACCTTGATTCAAGTGTTAACCGCATCAAGTCAAAGTGGTTTGGACGTGTAGCAAGGCATCAGGATAGCTACTCCCACTATTTCTTGGTTGGAATGGTGCCTGCATC